GGGCAGACAGACAGACCGGGGGGAGGGGGCGGGGGTGGAGTCGAAAGAGAGAAAAAAGAGAGGAGGAGGAAGGGAGAAGGATGTAAAGAGAAACAAATAATTTTGTTGTTTTTTTCCGTAACATATAAATTTTCCTTGTGAACTTGATCGCAAGAGCTGTTGCAGGCTCCACGTATAGACGAGTGGACGACATTAACGTTTCAACTGTTTCTTTTTGCTTTATAGGTTTCTCAAAAGGTATTTTAAGAGACCGGTAAAGTGTACTTTGCATTTACAAAAGTCTACTTCAGTGCATTTGGGATGTGTACCATGATGCATAAACAATTTACTACTCTGTCTTTACTCTTGACATTAACGTTGTTGTCTGGCTGTGTCTATGCTACTCGTATCGGAACACAAAATTCACATACTATTAGACCTTTTTCCTTGAGAGATTTGGGTTTTTTTCAACGTTGTTTCCGAGCTCTTAAATGAAATCTTTGTTTTCTGAAGTGATATCTTTGTACTGTGTTGTTTCCGAATTCCTTAATAAAACCTTTGTTTTCAGGAAGCGATAGCTGAATAAAAACGTTACATTGTTACTTTATAATACCCATGGTTAACGTGTGATCTCTGTTTAATCATAGCTTTCAATGTGATCACGTCAGAGGGTTAATGAGGGTTATTGCTGTATCTGGACAGCCTTTGAATAAAGTCAGATTCTTGAACGAAGTTGAATGAGACTTTTAGCAAACGAAAGAGTTAAGAAACTTCGAGAGCGGAGCAACTGGATATAACGTTTTTGGACTTCAACTCATTTCTTGAAGACAACACTTTGTGATTTCTTATAGAAAGGGTCAAAATTCTCTCACACCATATCCTAGAAGATTCCCAACCGTTATATTTTTTTAATTTAAATTTAATTTCTTCCAAACTGTCATTTGTATTCCCCGCTTGTGTCCCTCCTGTCCTCTTCACACCACGCTGTTTTACTTATTTTAAATATTCTCCCGCATGATTTCAACCAAAAAGCGCATTCTGTTGTGTTTCAAATACCCATAAACCTGTTTTCCTTATCTCCAATTCTATTTATAAGCTATGAACACATTTTTTCTACGAAAGAATCATGTTCAAAAATGCTATATGTACTACAAAATCCTTATCTACATCTGCTTTTAAAACAGGAAAGGGGGAGGGGGGCTTTCACAAGACCAGCCTTTTTCCTGGAAAGGGTAAATACATATGTTTTCACGATTGGAGGGGAGTGGTTGGAATTTGTTAATTTGTTTTAAAATAATTGTCCACTGGAGGCTATGGGAGATGATAGATCCAACCTTTGATGCTAAAGCAGATTCTTTTATAAATGAGTTATGGCCCTCTAAAAGATAATGCTAAAATTGATGATCAACGAAAATGATGTCATGTTTTGTTCCTTACCACCCGTGACCTCATCCCACCCCCGAAAAACTATTCGGGGTTAAAAATAAAAACAAAAAACAAAAAACAGTCGAATATCTTTATTATGGAAGACTAACGCTTGGAAAAGTTCTTTAAAGGGGCATGGCCTGTTCGAAAGTATCACTAAAATGTGTTAATGAAGTGCATGCCATCCAGCCAAATCTTCACTCTATATCACAGGGTAGTGGCCCAATAATTGTAACTTGGGTTTTGACAAAATTAATTATTTTACATATTCTGAGGCATTGGAATGGTGCGTAGTCTCTGTAAAAATCTCAGAGTTCTGAAGTTATTTTGTGAAGTACGCTTTAAATTGAAATCGAGTTTGTTGTTGAGGGCGATTGAGGTGATTCTGTAAAATATGAGAAACCCAAATTACGATGTTGTGCTGCTATCCTGCCAGGTGTCAAACTCGAGTCCCTCGGGCGGCATCCGTCTCAGCGAACCATTATATCCGAGGCAAAGAGAGAATTCTAGGTGGTCCATCATGAGAATCTCCGTAACACAACAAGTTACTCCAAACATAAATAAACTTTCTGCCAATAAAGAATGTCAAACATTCAGCACTGACAAATTGGCATAAGAGTGAAAGTTAGATTGCCATGTCTTGTTATTATTTCAACTTTTGTCTGTTTCAATTCATATCATTCTTCAAAAAAGATTTAGTGTTACAACTGCTCAATGGCTCAATGAGTGCTGATCCTGTTCGGTCCGCGAACGTTAATGTAATTAAATATGAGTTTACTAGTTAACAATTGAGTTTGACACCTGCTGCCCTATCTATTATATTTACCCTAAAAACTGCTCCCCCCACCCCCACCCCCCCCCTCGTCCCGCGGGCCTTCGTAAATATATCATTTGCTTCTTCACAATCTGTTTTTAAATTTGATATCAATGCAACATTCTATTCCCCTTCCATACTAACGACACAATCTTTTTTCAGATTTGTTTCCCTCTTCTGCTCGTTAGTTTGTATTCACTTTAATTCAACACCGTGTATCATGAAAAGGGGAAAACTGAGAAAATCAAATTGATATTATTAGTGAAGTAACTGCACACTAAACGAAAGCATGATCAAAATTTTCGAAGTCATTCTTAATCATAAGTCATCAGTTCCCCGAGTTTGGGGAGTGAGGAGAACAACAGTAGAAAACATTTAGAAAGGGAAAAGAAAACGAAGAGATTGTTCTGAACCTCAAACAAATTATCAGTCTTAAATGACTATTCACAATTTTAAAAGAAACGTCTCCTATGTTTTAAAAGCTTGATCTCCTAAGCATTATATTTCTTTTACAATGCGGAATGCCATAATCGAGATTTCCAATGTTTTCGTCACTCTAATCCTATGGTCACCAAACCTCAAACCGCGGGCCAGATGCAGCCAACGGTCAGTTCCTCCAGCACGCCACCAGGTGTAGACAATAATACCAGACTTAAAAGATATACGTATGGCGTGCTCAAGATTGGGTCACCAAAATAACTCAGTACTTTTATTGAACTGTGCAAATAAAACATGATTTTGTAGACTTTTTGTCTTTTGTTTATTGATAGATCAATAATTTGGTTGTCTTTCCTTTTCATGTATTCAGTGTAGTGTATAGAATAAACTCTCCTTCCTCTCAGTTATACAGCCCACTTTTTAAAACAAGTTTGATGACCGCTTTTCTATTCGATACCTTTGCACCCACCAACCTCCCCCCCCCCTCTCACTCCGGGAAAATGACATCGGTTCTATCGTTAGTAAACCAAACCAATGTGCCAGGATCTGGACGACAAGATGTATCTTATCTTATCTTATCTTATCTTATCTTATCTTATCTTATCTTATCTTATCTTATCTTATCTTATCTTATCTTATCTTATCTTATCTTAGACTTGAAGTAGCAGTAGGACGACTTTTAACTCGTCTGTAAAGTTAACGTTGCTCTGGTGCTGAATATCTTTTCCAAAATAAGACTTTGGGGGCAATGGCGGTGAGGGGTTACAATAAAAAAAATGTTTCTACCTTTTAAAGTTAAATTTCGATGTCTATTTCCCGTTCATCTTTCATCTGGCGCCTTTTATTACAACCATTTAGGTTTGACAAATGTAATCTTTCTCTACATTTGCAAGGTGAGCGTATGAGTTCACTTGGTCGCCTTATGCAAGTCCAGTGTTGTGTAAAAATATGCCTGTTGCATGTGAATCTAAAACATAGACAATTTAACCTACGGCAGTGAGTTAACCTTGTTCGAATCTAACATTTTGAAAGTAACCCCGATATGAAGGTTGCCCCATAATCCGAGTGCATTTGTATTTGTTAACATGCAAGCAACATTCTAATTGTGTGTTTTTCGAAAATTCTATCTCAATAATATTATAAATTCAAAATGTCAACGATTATATTGACCTAGTTGTTGATGGATTTAAACTAAGATCTACGAGTCTGATTGAGTGTACCGAAAATCATGTTTTCAATTCTCATCTCATTTGATCTCACCTCGTCTCACCTCATTTCATATCACCCCATTTCGTGTCACATTTCACCTATTTTTATCTTATATCTCATTCCATCCCACTTCAATTCATTGAAGTATCTTAACTCGTCTCGTCTCATCAAATTGAATCTCATCTTATGATTTTATCCTACCCATCGTTTTAAAACTACCTCTTTACTATTTCTTTGTAGATTTTTGCCATCGTCGTCTCCATGCTTATGCAAGACGTTCCCTTTGTGACCTTGAGACTTTACACCATTGTGACCTATAACCTGGTCACGTACAGTTTGGTGTTCTTCACGGCAAAGAACATTCTGGTCATAAGCCTTCTGATCTATAAGATCGCAGTTCTCCTGCAGAAGCGTTATTGTCCCGAACTAGGAGATGACGACGAGGAAGAGCTGGTGATTGGAAGTTCAGACGATGAAAAGAAACGGAAAGGCAGAAAAGGGACAAAGGACGAAGAAGGAATCATCTTGGCTTCTGACAAGGGCGGCAAAAAGCTAGTTGAAGGCTACGGTACCTTAGCTTCCATCAATAACGAGAGATCTCCGAATTCATCTGAACTGAAAAGGCGGAATGGAAAAGGACCAAACAACGACACAGCTTCTTCAAATAGAGATAAAGGAAATGAGAATGCCAACATGGTCCAGCCTGCTGTGGCCATCAATGATTCAGCGCTCGGTCCTAACCCGTCCGGCCAACAGCCTCCCATCCAGCCCTACTCTTTCCCAAACCAAAACCCAAATCTATCCCCCTCCTCTTCCAGAACCCCCAGCGAGGGGCACGGCTCCACAAAATCCAACGGCAGCGCGCCCACTCATTCCCGCACCAGCTCAAACGCGGCGAACCCTTCTTTAGACAGTGGTCGGCCAAAGACTCCAGCGTCGAAGCAGAATTCTCCCGCCGTCAGCAACAACGGAAGCGGCCCTCCTAGCGAAGCAGGTGATCAGAAAGATGTCTCGCCTAGTGCTTCTAGCGGTCGTAGTCCTTCAAATCGTTCCGCAGCAAGCAATGCTGCGCCTTCAAATTCTGCTGCTCCTTCCGGTGATAACTCTGCATCACCAGCTGAAACGAAACCTGACCCCGAACCTTTTGTTTCAGTCGTTAATGTGTCCAAGTGAATCTTTTTATGTTGGAAAGACCCGCAAAACTGGCTTGATGCTGTGGTCTCAGATTGGTGCTTGTTTCAGTACCAGATTCCTCCTATTCCACAAAAGAGGTCTGTCAACACAGTGTCAGGTACACTGGAAGTCCCTCCCGGAAAAAAACACAAATCTTAACCTTGTCCATCCCCGTACCCCAACCCCAACCCCTAACTGGTCCCAACGGTACCCCCTCTTCGCTTCTCTGAACCCTAACCCTTTTCATCTACAGACCGTTATTTTACTAATGTATCGTTTGCCCAGAAATATGTTTGTCATTTGATTTACCCTAGATGCATAGACCCAGTGCCAGAAAATGCTCTTGTGTAGAGATTGCAGTAAGAAACTAGATGGATTTATTGGTCTGTTAAAGTGTCGTACATTGCTTTACCATATGCTCCATGTATACTGTACAAAATCTGTCCCACGACATGGTGAAGTCCTCTGTTAACGAGCACGGTTGTGACTTACGTATATGTATATGTGTCAGTTGATAAGTTGTTTTGTGTAAATCCCCCTACCTGATCTGCATGTGTGGCCATGTGCATTCTTCTACACATTATGGTCTCGGTTTTTGGCTTGCAGTTTTTTTGGGTTTGTTTTTTTAACTGCAGTTTCAGACAGATAAACATTTGAATGTAGGCCCATTTAGCAGCTCGCGTACACATACACCCATGCATTCTCACACCGTAACACACACTCACACACATATGCGCGCGCGCGCGCACACACACACACACACACACACACACACACACACACACACACACATATATACACACACGCACGCACACACTCGAACGTGAGAGAAAAACAGAAATAAAAACAGAAAGGGAGAGAGAGGGAGAGAGAGAGAGAGAGAGAGAGAGAGAGAGAGAGAGAGAGAGAGAGAGAGAGAGAGAGAGAGAGAGAGAGAGAGAGAGAGAGAGAGAGAGAGAGAGAGAGAGGGGGGGGATGAAAGATTATGACTTCGCTCAATGAGAACAAGAGCCATGTCATACTACGTAGAATTATGTAGCAATAATTTGTTCTGACGCCATACACGTATTCCTGCTTAAGAACTTGTATCAGCGCATTTGTTAACTTAAGTAACCCCACATAATTTATCATAACCATTTTAAAAACAATAATATCTCGAGACGTCTAATCCATGCTTCCCTTGAGCTTAAAAGTATTGCATTCTACCTTACCTGATGTTTATCGATTATAAGATCTGCATGTAATCCCTGGATCAGATTTCACTAGACCACTTTTTACATAAAGCTTTTCAGCATTCAAGAGTACAATTCAGTATTCACGAATCCAGCATCTTTCCAGCACTTACTTCGCAACATTTTGCAAATTTGCAGTATTATTTGATTTTCGCTTGGACTCGATTCGTACCAAAGTTTAGGCGCCTTGAATACACTCCTGGCTGACTTAAAATGCGTATTCATGTAGTTGATCCACGATTGTACTATATTAATCTAAAATCGATTAACATTGTTACGAATGTCCCAGTCTTGTTGCCTAAATCAATATATGTTTGTAGTTTTTCTTGGTCTTTAGCACAATAAAATGATTTGTCATAAGTTCCGATGTTTGGTAAACAACATTCTCTACGAGAACTTGAAATTTTACTTGTTATTATTTAACATTGTTTTCAAAACATCAAACATGCGACAAAAGCCTTGAAATATTGCTTGTTCTTCAGAAATACACACGGGGAAACATTTTGCTGTAGACCTTTCAAGTTCCCTTCACAAAGGTTCTCGAACAGCTGTTGCACCAGAGACTCATTCATCTTCTTGTGTGTTATATTTTGTTGAACGGAATACCATGCCCCAGCCTAGCTATAAGGTTATAAGTTATAGTGTATTGTTTCTTTTGTTTTAAGTATTGACGATTCTCCTTCAAATGCCGCCATCGGGCTTCAAATTGTCTTTGCTGCGTGTCGTACGTCACGACTTGAATGAATGAGGTATTTTTAAAAATAATAATTTTGTTTTTGTTTGTGGAAAAAGAAACAAAAATAGAAAAATAAGAGAACACTAAGAGGAGTTCATTGTGAAATGTAAACTGGGAATGAAGAAAGTGTGCGGGTGTGTGGTTGAGGCGACGACTGCTTTCAGATGCTTGACCTGTTACGCTCGCTCTATTATGGCTGATAACTGAAACCAGAAACTGTAAGTGGTTTTTAAAAAATGGGGAAAAGGAAACGTGATGATTAACAACATCTGAAATTAATATTTTTCAAAAGACAACGAAGAGGACAACAAAAAAAGTAACGACCGAAATTCTAGTAGATCATCATCATCATCCCCGTCATCATCATCCTCACCATCACCACCGTCACCACCACTACCACCACCAACAACAACAACAAGAACGACGACCAAAGAGACAACAATAGTAACTTCACCCCACCAAAGCTATCAACATCACACAAACGATGCAAGCCGTGTTGTGAAAACTGAGAAGGAATTGCTGTTCAAAGGAGTTCTCCATCTTTTGCAGTAACGATTATAAATTATTATTTACATTGGTTAGTTCCCTTGAATCATTACCACTTGTACGCTTGGTTTTGAGAAGAATGTTTATTGCTGCCATATGTTTCCATTGTGCCCACTTTCATCTTATAACATTTTTTCTAAAATGATTTTACATACAACTGTACAGGTTTTTCGATTATGCTGTGACAATTTGTATGTCCATTTCCAAAATGGTGTACTATTATACAGTACTGCCTTGTCTACTCATCTACAGCTTGAGGATGTCTATGTACAAAAAATATCATTTATACGATTAACGGCTTTAACTCATAGTGTGCCTTACTTTTAGAACTGGTAAAAATATTTTAGCCTGGTGGCATTTGATCTGTATTGCAAAGCTTTTAATGAATTTATGACGTGTATGTCGCGGAAATAAAGTTTATATTGTAATGATTTGGATGGATATCCCTGTCGAGTTTTTTTGTCAGTGTTTTACTTGCTATGTTGTTTTCCAGGAGTTGTGTCTCATTTGGAATGGTACACATTGACACTTGGAATTTTGGAAACCAGTTGAATCTGTCGCAGATGCTAATGGACATAAAAAAACAGGAATACCTGTCCAGCTATTATATGCGGGAATCGTATCAGAAAAACAGGAAAACATGATCTCATTCTTCATTTCGGAAGGTTGTTTTTTTTTCAAACAATGACACGTATGAGTTTAGCAATACCCCTTTCAACATTGTAAGTTTCAATCCTTTCTAGAGGCAGAACCTCCGAGTTTGAGATGAGTCTACTACTGGACTGAGCTAAAAAGGAAGAGAACGTTGAAATCTCCTCATACTTCTAAAGAATTTCCCTGGTAAGGACTAAAACCAGATTCATTCGCATGACAGCCCATCATAATACCAGGCAAGAAAATCTACAAAGCTTCTTACATTAAGCACATTTAATTAAAGGAAAACATATATTCATACTGAAAGGTATGCCTGATTAGGAAGTGAGAAATGCAGCTTCTGGGACATTTGAATAGATATTTTACATGGACCTTGAACACTTAGCTCTTACTGGTGAAAATGAAGGCAAGGGAGGCAGGAGCAACTTGCTTGGAAAGCCTAAACAGACGAGTGACGTGGAACGATCAGGATAGTATAGTTTTTTTTAGAGCATCCGAACAAAAGAAATGAAAGGCAAACCATGACCTCCACCAGAATCCACATGTTCCCAACGGAGTTAATGAGGTATCCGGATTATTAAAACCGGAGAACAGGTGTGCCAGTGCAAAGAACCGGGGTCCTCACAGGTGGGTGCTGTACATTTCAAAGGGACATAAGCAGTGAAAATTATTTCATTTAGTCTGTTACTGAGTTTAACCCCATACTTTTTTTATGGTTATATAAAAAAACATGTCATATTTTGTTTTCTGTTTCGTTAATTGCACTGCTTCATTGAGCTGATTACACTATACAAGATCTGACTGTTTCAAAACGAACCTGCCATGTTTATCATATGGTTCAGTGACTCTTAAACCTCCTACCAAACCTCGTTTTCAACCAACTGAGCCCATTAAAAATAGTCCAAGCTTACTATCCGAAAAACGAACTACGCTTGCCCATGGACTTCGCTGTAGCTGCCTACCATCCCCTGCCTACCATCCCACATGGCTCTGTGTACGGAGGTTGGTTGAGGGGGGTGAGGGTGAAGGTTGATATGTTGGTTCTCTCGTCGGGTCATCGAGCTAAATGGTAATATTTCAGTAAGCACAGATTCTAAAAACGAACTTCAGCGTCACAGTCTCCTGCGTCTTGGTGACCGGTTGTGTGAACTTCAGACAGTTGGACATTATTGTGTTTAGGGATGGGCAGATTTCTCCGACCTCTCACACATCTCCATGTCGGTGCTTTGTGGCGGAACAGCAACCACGTCGCTCCTCTGCTTTTTCTGAGACCTGAAATTTAGTGAGAAAAATTGTTAATTGGAGTGGTTCAGTTGGAAAAAAAATGGAGGGGGTGGGGTGTTATTTCTTATTAGATTCGAACCCCAAGCTTTCTGATCTTGTTAAATACATACTTTTATAAAGTCTGCTCTGCCACACAGTAAACAAGACAGATGTTCCACGAAAAGCAGTAGGGCACAAATACGTAGACAAAGGATTTATGTGTTACTTTAAATGGCATGCCAATGTATGGAGAGTTTTAATTACGTCCATCTATTAAAGTGAAGCCGAACCTTAGATGTATTCAAAGTTTTAGTCTTCAAATCAGAGGTATTTATGTTTTTGTTGTCGTCATAATCACATTCTCTTTTTTTGTGCTAGTACAGACATTCATGTCTTAACCCAAAATGTGCGAAACTGTATAGGTTTAACGTCCCTTGTAACACTGTGAAGTTATCTAAGAGTGTGGGGCCTCGGAATTTAATTTCCATCTCCGATAAGACTAAGCTAAGTGAGGAAATTCGTCTAAAGTATCTTTCCCAAGGACACAACGTCAGACCGAGCTGAACGTCAAACCCACGAACCTCAATAAGTGTATAAACTGAGTGCATTCGTTTTTGTCTCCGTTCCCTGTTGCTCCCAGCTTGACCTTTCCTCCCCGTTGCCGAATTATTGGGAGTGTCTCTTATCTCATCACCGGAAAATGAGTGCACCCCTCTCTCACTCTCCCCTCCTTTTCCTGCTGATCCCAGTTGCTGAGCCGATCGCGAACGTTTTATCTCTCTACTAAAATTTCTCCTAGTTCTCTTTCAGCATGCATTCACACTCTATATTTGTATCTATAATCAAGGTATAACTTACCGTAGAGTGATAACAAGTCTTTCTATTGAAGATAACGGCTTGCGAAAATGTGTTGTTCTTTTCTCAATATGAGGTCTAATAAGATGAAGAAAGGTTTGAAAAGATTAAGGTCGTATCCGAATGTAGGAAACACACTTTTCCTCATCCCTTAAAACTTCACCTAAAAGATGTTGATATTCTCCAAAGTCACCTCTTCGTTGAAAAATGCTATGTGCCCAGTAACCTTTAGGGACGCGGCGTCTTCTTTTCCTCCAAAACAATAAGAATACATGTCATTGAAAAGCCTCCATTATTGCTTAACATAGGGGTAGCTAACTCAGTACGATGTGTTAATGACAACACCAGATGTTCACGAACGGAGAGAGAGCGGAGACAAAAACATGTCACATTCGTTTCTCCCTCATTTTTATGCCGATCAGGGAAGTGGGTCAGACTGGAAACGAAAGGGAGCGGAGAAGAACAGGAATGCCCTCATTCATGCGTTAACACGATTACTTGTCCGGTATTCCAACCACTAGACTACCGGGGCCAGTACAGTTTGATCCCTCATGGGAAAGATTATCTTAATTACCCCGTCTGTCTATAAGAATGTTGTATTCTCCTCAGCTAAGGTTGATAGTGAGGACCGACATCACCCC